AGATAAAGAAGTAAAAACTCATCTGCAACAAAACAAAAGGCAAATTCATTTCCTGTCAAAGATAGTCACGCAAGTTTCTGTGTACCAGGACACTGCAAACAGCAATTAAGTAAGATGAATGAGGTCATACTTCACAGATATTGTTTTAGGCAAAGAATCAGCTAGACATCTATCTAAATATGATAATTAAACCAATCACATTTTGGGCTGGGGATATAGCTCAGCAGCATAAGTGCCTGCCTGGCAAGCACAAGGTCCCAAGTTCAATTCCTGGTATCTCAAAAAAAAAAAAAAAAGAGAGAGAGAGAGAGAGAGAAAAAAAGAAATCACATTTTGACACTATCTTGAGGCAAGTACAATCACACAGCACTTAAGAACTGTCCACATTCACACATTCTAAGAAACAAGTCCTTAGTAAATCCATCCCTATGTGAACCTCAAGAGTGTACACAAATCTGGAGACACAGTGCACACCTAAATAGGAGTGCAGTCACGATCTTATGCATCTATGAGTCCACAGTGGACTGAAACAAAGTTACGTAGCACATAAGGCACATAACTACATACAATGGTACCGTGGTTCATAAGTGCTTTTGTTTGCAAACAATTTGACTCACAATTAGAAGAACTTGGCATATTTTTGTTTTGTTGTTACTACTGTTATTGGTTTTGAAACAGGGTCTCGCTACACAGTTCAGACTGGTAGTGATCCTCCTCCTGTGTCGGCATCCCCAGCACTGGACTTACAGGAATGTGCCACCATGCCTGGTTCCAGGGCTTGCACAGCACGCCTGGAGTCCAGGGATTGAATCTGGGTCCTTGTATTTGCCATGCAGACACTCAGACTACCAAACTACCTTGCAGCCCCCACATTTTTGTTTTTGTTTGCAAAATCTGTACCATGGGCCTCTTTCCCACATGAACATGACAATCTTTTCCACAACTGTGGAATGCATTAAGTTCATGAACAGACTTACCACCTTACAAGAACAATATTAAGCTAGAAAAGAAAAGATACCAACTAAGTTTTAGCTTTTTTTTTTCCTCAATAATGGTGAAAAGCTGATAGACTCCATGATGATGGTGAAGTAAGAAAATTCAAACCAACACAATGATCCAACTGCACTGCTGAATACTAACTGGTGTTTTGTGCTCAGAGAAAAAGATGACAGATGTCAGGGCCAATATGAACATAGGACAGCTGAGACTATCTAGTCAAGAGCACAGAAAGAAAAGAATTAAACACAGAAAAGTAAACTCAGCCTAGGAAACTGTGGGACACCACCAAGTATTCTAACATAGATGTAACAGTGTTAAGAAAGGAGAAAAAGATGTAAAAATAATACTTGAAGAAATGATGGCCAGCCTGTAATCCCAGATCTTAGGAGGCTGTAAACAGGTGGATTACTACAAGTCAGATCTAGCAGTGAGACCCTGAACACCCTGTAGACCCTTCCCTAAAATACAGAAAAAAAAAAGAAATGAAGGCCAAAAATATCTAAAATTTGATGGAAAGCATTAATTTACACATCAAAGAAACTTAACTCTAAAGATAAAATTTTAAAAGTCCACACTTAAAAAGATCATAGCACATCTATTCAAAGACAAAGAGCAATGGGAATAGTGATTTACCAAGAATAAAAGAACCTCCATAAGATTTAACAGCTAAAGTGTGATCAAGTCATGGAGACAAGCAAACAACACAATAACATATTCAAGGTATTAAAAGAAAAAGAACAGCAACCCCATTCTTATAGTCACCTAAAGTACCTGCCAAAATAAGGACATTCCCAGATGAACAAAAACTAAGAGAATGTGTATTAGCAATCCTGCCCCGCAAGAAATACTGATGAGAGCTGTTTAGGCTGAAAAGATACCAGATCATAAACAAACTGCAAATAAAAAAATAAAGAGGCCTATAAAGTAACTTATGTAAGTATGAAAAATATAAACATAATTTTCATTTTTTTATTTCTACCTAATTTGAAAGAATTATAAAGCAATAATTTTTTAACATTTCTGTTAATAAGTACATGATGTATAAAAAATACTTTGGATAAGACAAAAAAGGGGACAGCAAATGAGCTACATAGGAACAAACTTTTTACATACTATTGAAATTGAGTAATTTATCAATCCAAAATAGATGACTATATATTTATAACTATAAAGCATGAGAAAAAAAGTAATGCACTAGAAAATGTTATATGGAGGAAAATAAAATCAAGACTCAAAACTATACAGAAAAGAAATAGCAAAATGGCAGACAATTATTATTAGTAGCTATATTAAATATATATGGACTAGGTGTTCCAATTAAATACTTTTGGCTTAATGGTTTTGTGTTTGTGTTTTTAGTTTTGGTTTTCTGAAACAAGGTCTCATTATGTATTTCAAGATACCTTGAATTAACTATATATCCCAGGCTGACATAAAACTTAACAGAGGTCCTCCCATCTTAGCCTCCTGAGTGATGGGATTACAAGCATGGACCACCACACCTTACAGTTTAGTAATTTTTAAAAAAGAAAGATTCAATGGGCCAGTCAGATAAATCAGCAGACTAAAGTGCCTGCTTTGGCAGGCTCAGCAAGGGGGCAGGGACTCCGATCCCCAGGGTGCCATGCTGGCCCCAAGGCACACTGAGACAGCTAATGAGACTGGGCATGGTGGTATCCACCTGTAATCTCAGCGCTTGGGAGGCTGAAAACAGGAGAATCACAAGTCCAATCTGTGTAGTGAGATCCTGTAGGCCCTGTACTAAACACATAAAAAAAAAAAGATTCATCTGCTGTCTACATTTGACCCTGGGTGCAGTGTGCCGCCTCTGTAATGTGGTGCACACCTATAATCCAGTCCTGGAGAGGCTGAGACAGTAATCACTAGGAGTCCAAGCTGTGTAGCGAGACTGTCATAAATAAATAAATAAGATTAAAAGAAACAAGAGAATCATACTAAACTATGTCACATGCAAGCATTTAATTATGCATATACTGTTCTATTTGTATATATTGGGCATTACTATAAAACTTCATTCTACATTAGCTTAAAAATTTCACATACTTAGCAAGAATATGTTTGTTTTTGTTTTTTTGTTTTTTGCAGTACCAGGGATTGAACTGAGGATCCTATACTTGCCAGGCAAGCACTTATTCTACTGAGCTATCTCCCCAGCCCCTAAAAATACGATTTGTAGGAAAATGGATGCATCTTGAGGCCATAATGTTAAATGAGGTAAATCAGACATGCAAGCTTAATATGCAATGGCTTGGGGCTGGGGAGATGGCTCAGTGGAATAAGCACTTACCTGGCAAGTGCAGGGGCTTGAGTTCAATCCCTGGTTCCGCAAAAAAAAAAAAAAAAAAAAAAAAAAAAAGAAAAAAAAAATATATATATTATCCAGTGGCTTACCCTACATGACAAAATCAATATGTAAATGAAGGGCAAACTGTGGTCCCCACTGGATGAGGGTCCCAGGGCAGGAGTTCAAGAAGACATTTGATTTAATGCCAACATTTTTACATCCAGCCTCCTTTGAAAGCCACACTCACAGTGCCTGTTTCTCATTACGGAGGGCAAGACCTTCTCAAGAAGTTTAAGTCTACTTTGTACCCCCTCTCTATCTGGCTATCTCTCTCTCAGTCACTGTGGAAGGGCAACACTGGAAACCCAGAAGTGGAATTTTTCTGTAATTGTTTCGTGACTCAGTTTTAAACAACAAATCCCTTCTAAAAATGGCACCTGATAAAACACTGTCTGGCAATATGATGGGTTTCTTCTCCAGATAGGAGAACATAATTTAATAATGAACCTCCATGTGTGTTAAACTTAGTTTCAAAAATTATTAGCACATGACTGATCTTAGTTCATTTGCACTCTACTCTCCTTCCTCTCCCCAGTCATGCTAGATCATTTTGAAGCAAGTTGTATAATTAGGATACATATTTTAAAGATTAAAATATACTGAAAAATTGTCTGTGGAAAAAAAAAGGGCAAAAATTTTTTTTAAAATAGGGAGGAAAAAAAAAGTAAAAAGCTATCATACTCCAGGACAAAGTTTGCCCTTAATACAGTGCAACTGTCTTATGCGTTTCATATGATTTCTGGCCTGTTGGTGTGGCTGTTAATCTATATGTATGATAATTAACTTTATAAGGACTTACATGAATCTGATATTGATGGAAAAAAAAAAAAAAAAACCGGAGTGGTAGAAGGGAAGGGGGAAAAAGGAACTGATGTACATGCATCAATTTTCCATAATGAAGGGCCGGGGAGATGGCTCAGTAGAATAAGCGCTTCCCTGGCAAGCACAAGGGTCTGAGTTCAATCCCTAGTTCTGCAAAAAAAAAAAAAAAAACATAATAAATGTAAACATTACATACTGCAAACATATAATAAAAAATAGAAGTAAAAAAGAAAAAGTGTACACTAAGAAAATACCTACAAGAATCAGTATAAACACACAAATGTAACATATGTAACTGAAGAACTGGTCACATATAAATGAATATTTGTCCCCAAAAAAGGAAAAAATATGCTATTTCCAATTTAAATAATTTTGCTATGAGTGTGTTTATGGCAACTTTATGACTCTTAACTATCTACTATTGGCTCAATAATTCTGAATTATCGAAGAGCCAATAACTATCACTTATACATTATGTTATGATAAACTCTACCATACAACCAAACACAAGCAATCTTGATGCTGTATTAATTTCAAATTTATGGCTGGATGTCTGTAGAGACAGCGAGAACACAACAGGCAGTGTGGTAGATAAAGTACTGGCAAGGGAGAGGGCAATCAGAAAAGAACCATATACCTTAATCCCTTAAAATTAGTCATTTAAAAAATTATATTGCTTGAGGATTTTAATTTTGTTAATTATCCTGAAATCATCTGAATATTTTTTCCCTCCAACTTTGCTTACTGATGTACTGAACATGAAAAAGTACAAAGAATCCAAACACAAAAGAAAACACATACAGCCTCTTAAATAAAGATTATGGAATGCTTCACAAATTTGTGCATCGTCCTTGCACAAGGGCCGTGCTAATCTTCTCTGTATCGTTCCGATTTTAGTATATGTGCTGCTGAAGCGAGCACTCCTCTGAATATTAGGACATACATATAAGTAACATTAATACGATCAGATACTAAGCAACCAATCTTTTAAAAACTGCATGAAAACATGCAGTTAGATGCTACTAAAAAATTCAAACAACAGGTGGCACTCTAGTAAAAGAAATACTATAATCTAGAGCTGAAGAGATAAACCTAAAATTTAACATTATACTGCTTGGTCAAATCCATATAATAATTGCTTAATTTTTTTTCTCCAAATTATTCTGAGTATCTTTGAGAAAATGTTTTTAAAAAGTAGTTTTTTCTAGACCCAAGTAAAAGTCAGGGAACTTTCATCTTCTTTCCTCCTACTCTCTCCCACTTGAGTTCACCAGAATATAGCAAAAACATCCAATGACACAATTGTACTTAATTATGTATGTACTGGTTTATCCTACTTGTTTTTAAATATTGTTACAAAACATCTTGTAAAGCATTTTTGTTAGACTATGAAAAGAAAGTAAACTGTTCAGGTTGAGTATTTATGTCTATTTCAAACTAAATTTGTGGCATCAATTACACTTTTCAAATATTATTTATGCATAATATTTCACAGTAATTATGGCCCATTCAAAGAGGAAAATTTACTAAAGATAAAACCAAAATATCTTTGTGTTAATTATTTCAATATCAAATATCAAACCATTTTCCAATGATTGGTAAAATGTAAACATCTACCAAATAAAGACCCTAAATTATAATATATAACCCAATTCCTTGAAAAGTAACTTTCATACTTATATAGCATCTGTTTTACGTTTTTTCTGCAAATACTTGCTGCTGGGTTGTTGTTATTCTCTCATATTAGGAATTTTTGCCCTATTTTTAATAGCTATTAAATATATGGCTCATACTTATGCTTCTTTATTTGGGGCTGGGAATTGAACCCAAGTTGCTTACACCGAACAACATGCCCAAACATTTTTTGTTTGCTATGTTTGAAAAACAAAACAAAACAAGAGCCTTGCTAAGTCACTAGTGCCAGACAGGGCTAAATCTTGTGATTCTCTTGCTTCAGCCTCCCAGAGGGCTAAGATTACAGGAATGCACTACCACACCCAGCTTAATTATGCTTTCTGATTTTAGAGATTATAGCTGAAACCTCAGGAAAGAACTGATTTTTGTTAAATAAAGCCCTAGGCAAAAAAAAAAAAAAAAAACCCAGGCAAGAAATTCATAGTAAATAAAAAAACATTTGCAGTATCTTCAAAGAGTTAAATACAGTGGTGATGAATGACCAGTGATCCCATTACACATAACTTACAGTTGAAAAAATTTAACAGATTCTTCCTCAGCAGCCCAAAGAAAGCACATGAGCCCATGGAGTCTGTCCCCAAACAACTCCACATGGTTGACTCAATGCCACGGCCATATCAAATCATCAACTCCTACCTGGCTCTCCATTTTCATTCCTCTTAGTACAGGGCTTCAGCTCATGGGCAACACCAATGCCCTCACAGAGCAGGTAAACTCCACAGCTGGCTGTCCCCGGGAAAAAGAACAGTCCTGGCCAGCAGAGCCGGTTTTATGACCACCATTGTTGTAAACTGCAAAAACAGTGTGAGCTTTTATACAGATTGGCTACGGCACTGAAGCACAGTTACAAAAGAAAACAGTACATGGTCTCCCAAACTGCCAGTTTCATCAGGTGCCACTTTTGAAGGGTTGATGTGTTGGACTGAGTCAGAGAACAACGACACTGCAACTTCAGTCCAGGATTTTCAGTGCTACCCTACCAAAATGACTGGGGGAAAATAGCCCATTTCATGGGAAACAGATGCAGAGGGAGAAGACGAGGGCTAGAAGTAGATCCCCAGAGAATTTGAACCTCAGTCCAGTTAGGACACAAGGACCCATACCCCAGGCTTAGGGTCTGGCTTTCAGCAGTGGCTGGATCTGAAAGTAATGGCAACAAGTCCAAAAATATGCTGGAGCCCTCATCATGCTGCCTACTTAGAGCAGAGCAGTGTTCTGATTGCTTGCCCATTTACTAAGGGATGTGCCTTGGCTTGGACAGTTGCTACAGTCTCAGATTTCCCCCAGAGGGGCCTCCAAAGCAGGTGCAGAATCTCAATCACACACAGACTATCAGGCAGGCAGGGAGCATCAGGACTTGCTGAAGTCTAAGACTGCAGGTCCTAGAAGAAAACTACTCATCTAGAAATACGGAGGGAAAACACTGGACCCATTTCTTTTTATTCCTGTACTGGTTTTTGGTGTTTGGCATTGCATCACCCCATTTTTCTCATTTGGCATTTTCTTTGTTTTCTCTTTTAATTTTTCCTTTGTTATTTTATTTTCCTTCAGTTTGCTAATTTTTTCTTTTCTTCTCCTTTTTCTTTTTTTGTTATTTTTAATGTAAGACTATTACATTAAAGTACTACTCCTTTTAGTACTTAATAGGTTCCTTTATTTCATTTCTGTCACCACCTTATCAACTTCCACTGTTTTTTTTTCTTTCTTTCTTTCCTTCTTTTTTTTTTTTTATTTTTAGGGAAGGATCTACAGGGTGCTCAGGGTCTCACTAATAGATGGGACTCATAGTAATCCACCTGTTTACAGCCTCCAGAGAGCTGAGATTACAGGTGTGCACCACACCCCCTGTTTCAATTGCCATCTCAGTGCGCTCTGGGGCGGGGCTGGCACAGCAGGCCTGGGGATTAAACCCTAGGCCTCTGTACCTGCTTGTAGGTGCTTTAATCCACTGAGCTATTAGGCCAGCCCATTGCTTAATATTTTATATTTTATTTTTCTCATGCTCCTATTCCCACAACCTCAATCTTTACCAGTGTAATGATTAAACTTTATGAATCTTTAAATAGTTAACTATATGCTACGACAGTTCTATAGTTAGTGGAGGTAAACTTACTCCATTTAACAGATATTTACTATAGGTCAATGTTTCATTTCTCTTAGGCTTTATACTATAATCTTAGACCTTACACTATAATTACTTTATACTATGGTTAAGATATGTCAATGTCCTATTTGCTTTGGCACTATTATTTTTTATGATGCAATTACTACAGCTCAAGCAACGTAGTGTAATCAACAGGCTTTTCTCCATATGCCATATATGATCAGCAGAAAGAAAGAGTCCATGAAAACATACAAATAGAAATTTAGGAGATTAAAAGTTTATTTAAAGTATGGACAACAGAAGTAACCAATAGGAGGACAAGCTGGCAGAACTAAAAATCAGTGGTCTGTTCACAGGAGATACTTTTTTAAAAAGGGAACATGAAAAATGGATTCAATAGTTGCTAAATGACACAAAGACTAAATATTAATTAGACTTATTAAGAAATGAGAGGATAACAAAAGTGGCATAAAAACTTGTTTACGGGCTGGGGACATAACTCAGCAATCTAAGCATCTGCCTGAAGTGCAAGGACCTGGATTTGATCCCCAGTACCACATGCAGTGCAGGCCACAGAACCCATGTGCACTGTGCTGCCCACCTAAATCGGGCCTGGAGGCATGTGAATCACTACGAGCTGTGCAGCAAGACCCTGTACCAAATAAATAAATAAAATATTTAAAAAAAATTTTTAAAACCTGTTTACATGAACAATAACAGAAAACTTTCCAAACATGGCAAAAGAATTGATGATACAGATAAGTAAAGACACACAGAACCCCAAATACCTACAATCAGAAAAGAACATTTCCAGGACACATCACAGTCAAAATTTCAAAAGTACAACACAAAAATAGAATTTTTTTACAAAAATAGAATTTCACAAGTTGTTAGAGAAAAGCAAGGAATCAATTACAATGTAGAAAAATTTAGAATCATGGCAGATTTGTCAAGACAAACCTTAAAGAGAAGGGCAGCTTGGAGTCGAGTTTCAAGCTCTAAATGAAAACAACTTCCACCCCATACTAATACATCCTGCAAAACTAATTTTCAAAATTAGCAGAGAAATAAGAAACTTCCACAATAAGGAAAAACCAAACCAAAAAAATTCTTACGATATCCAAAAAGAGAAAATGAAGCTAACACTCCTGATAGATCCAACAGAATGATTTTACCAGGTAGAATGAGCAGTTAAGTAAATGGAAAGAAAGGGAATCCGCCACCAAAACACCAAATGCAATGGCAGAAATAAGTCCGTGCTGTCCAACAATAACGCTCAGTATGAACAGCTTCAGTTCCCCAATCAAAAGACACAGCTTTGTAGAATGAAATCAGGAAACAAAATCCAACAGTAGGCTTCATGAAAGAAACATATTTAGCATTTACCTGGCAAGCGCAAGGGCCTGAGTTCAATCCCTGGTTCTGAAAGGAAAAAAAAAAAGAAAGAAAGAAACATATTTAACCCAAAAAGAAATGCATAGAATAAAAATAAAAGGATGGAAAACAATAGTCCATGCAACAAGAACCTAGTCACAAGCAAGAGTAGCTATCCTTTTTCCTTTTTTTTTTTTTTTTTTGGGGGGGGGGGTGCGGGGATTGAACTCAGGACCTTGCACTTGCCAGGCAAGCACTTACTCTAACTTATTCTACTGAGCTATCTCCCTGGCCCTATCCTATTTTCAAGTAAAGTGAAATTAAGCTAAAACTGATTTTGCCAGAAGAGGCAAATAAGGGCACTACATTTCAGTTAAGAAAACATTTCAATGAAACGGGTAACAATTATAAATATTTACACACCAAGCAGCAGCATAGCTATTTCATAAAATATGAAAGGACAGATAAAAATCAATAAATTATAGTGGAAGAACTCAATACCCCACTGTCACAATAGACTGACCAACTAGACAAAAAGAGCAACAAAGAAATACAGAGTTGAACCAAACTTTTGAACAAATGGACTTAACAGACATCTACAGTGTTTCACCTAACAGCAATAAACATTCTTTTGAAAAGCAGTTATAACTTTCTTCCAAAACAGATCATAACAGATCAATAAAGAATGGTTAAGTAAATGCAAAAGAATCAGAGTTACCTACCACAAATTATCAAATCAATGTGCAAT